AAAAAAAAAAACTGGTGAAATGAAATACCAATTACCTGGGGAGCTTTTATAAACTTCATGCACTTCCCCAATCTCCATTCACACCCCTGGCTGAGAGCCATCCTTTCAGATTTCAGGAAAAAGTAATTTGTTACAAGATGCGTCATTCTCAGGGATGTGATTCATGATGTATACACAGGCTGTAAGGCTATTACAGCCCCTAGAGTTTGAAATGGATACTTTTAGCACTGTGTTCAGTCACTATGACTGTCTTCCACTAACTCTAAGACAATAACAAAACAAAATACAAAAGTGGAACCTATTTTCAAGGATAGTTAACTCACTTTTTGTGAAGGAACTCTCCAGCTGCCACAGCAACAGGGCGATGTGCTGAGTACACTAAGTGGTAAACATTTTCACAGTCTTCATTGGAAAGGGCTTCTTCACTTCCACTGAAAAATGCAGAAAGTAACATAAGAACCAAAGCAAATACTTATTTTCAATTTTACCTTTATTTAAATTTTATAAAGTTCATATAAAAGCTCAAGGCATACTGATTTTAGTTTCACCTTTCATCCTATTTTGAAAGCAATATTTCCCTTTAACTATAAAAGACAATTATTACATAAAATTCAGAAAATACAGATAAAATAAGAAGAAAATAAAATGTACACAATTCTTCTACCCACATATATCCATAGATAATGACTATTAATTCCTTGGGATATTTATTAGCCCAAATTAGCTCTGTTGATATGCTCTGGGAATATATTTGTCCTTGTTTCACAGAGTTAAATTATTATGCTATGTAACTCTTCTTTGTAGAATTATATCTTTTAAATTATATTTTACCATCATATTTACAATACAAATTATTTAGTCTGCTTACTATTTAAAATGGATTCAGTAGTTACAACCATTCCTTTACCAATACAACTTTCTTACCTTTCCATTCATGTATTCTTAAAATCTGAGCCATTTCTGGGCCGGCCCGTGGCTCACTCGGGAGAGTGCGGTGCTGATAACACCAAGGCCCCGGGTTCGGATCCCATATAGGGATGGCCGGTTCGCTCACTGGCTGAGTGTGGTGCTGACAACACCAAGTCAAGGGTTAAGATCCCCTTACCGGTCATCTTTTTTATAAAAAAAAAAAAAATCTGAGCCATTTCTTAGTTGGCCGGAATGTATCTTTATTTTTCTTTCCAAAAAAGGAATATCTATTTCCTGACTATTAATATGTTTTAAGATATCTGATATGATTACAACTACATGGGGAACAGAATTTTTGGACTGTATAGGTCCTTGACAAGATGTAGGGCTACAAGCTCATTCCCCAAATTCACACCTGGAAATGCCTCAGAAGCTAAAAGGTGGGTGAGGGATCTGTCAAATAAACAAAATTAGAGTGATCTTGTCAGCAAAAGAAGGTAGTGCGTCACAGTATGAGTGAAAAAAAAAACTGGATCTCAAGGATGGGAAATAGGTTCAAAGCATTTTTTAAAGTACTCTTATTTTTTTCCCGTCCACAATGCCTGTTCCAATACTGCTGTGAGGCAGAACAGTAACCAGGGCAGTGTGAGTAACAACAGTGTTGTGCTGGAGCCAGTAAGCACTGGGAAATTAACAGTAGGTTGTAGGCAGATTGGGTAGCCTGTGATCTACTCTCCCTATATATCCATTCCATATCCTAAGGATTATGAGATTAGAAATAAGGGAGATAGGTTTTAAGACTGCCAAGGAAGAGTGACAGATTATAACGAGAGGCTCTCTGTTCTGAAGCATTAGTATCTCTAGCATGCCCAACTCATACCCCCAAAAGTATAAAGAGGGGGCTTGAGGCTTAGTCCCCTTCACCCAATTATGTACCATCAGCTCAACTGGCTAATATCCTCAAATAAATAAGTTCACAGAAAAAGATTTTTAACAAGACATCTCAGGAAAACAAGCTCATAAATGAAAGGCAAATAAACAATCTATACTAAAAGTAAGAGAATTAACAGATGGACAGAAAAAGAATTTAAAGGAGGTTATAATAGGATGTTAAATGTGACTTGCTGTTTTGGCAGTTTTGCTAGAGATTCCACAAGCAAGAAAAATAAGGCTAGATCATTTTATGTACATGGTATAAGAGACAGTAAAGCTGGGTTGTGATTCTTAGATCATTACCCACCAAAACAACATATAAGAAATTAGGGGACTGAGCAATATAATCATCAGTAGAGGATTTCTTTAAAGAGAGAGATGTCAGAGTGCTGTGGTACTCTGAAGCCTTCTCCCCAAGCCAACCTGGAGCACCAAGTTTCAGAGAACGACTACGAAAACTGTGTAAATAACCCTTAACAATGACGAGGAAGTTTAGGAACTGGTACTGGCTATAGGGCTTCAAAAGTTCTAAAGGTAGGGCTGGCCTGGTGGCACACTTGGTAGAGTGCGGCGCTTGGGAGCGCGTTGGCGCTCCCACCGAGGGTTCGGATCCCATATAGAGGCCGGTCCGCTCACTGGTTGAGCGCGGTGCGGGCGCGACACTGAGGGTTGCGATCCCGTTACCGGTCACGAAAAAAAAGACAAAAAGGAAAAAAAAAGAAAGTTCTAAAGGTAAAAGGCTGACTGGAGTAACCCATGGTAGTAGAGTAAGAAGAGATGGCTAACAAGGGAATGAGCTGTACTTACTCCATCCATAAACAGTCCCTGTTTCCTATGGGCCAGGTAAGGAGTACTGAAAGTGAGCCAGCCTGAATAGTTTTAAAAGACTTTGCCCAGTAGGACTACCTATAGGGCAAGTGACTCCAACACAGAAAACCTGAAAGCCAGGGGCTGAGTCATAAAATAAACAGCCAGAGGAGGCACTGTGCACTCTGGGGAACTATAATCACATATTCTTAAAGCAGAGAGAGATCTATCTGACACAGCTAGAGACACAACTGTACCTTTTAAATAAGTTATATTCTACTCTTATCTCCCCCAATAAAAATGCAGAAAAAAAAACAGACTTTTGAAACCAGCCAAAGTATCTTCTAAATTCATGGTGAAAGTAGAATTTTTCAGCCATACAAGGTCTCAGAAGCTTTGAAAACACTCCTCAAAAAAATAATCTAGTAGGTGGGCCGGCCCGGTGGCGCACTGGATAGTGCGCCGCTTGGGAAGCGCGGCGGCGCTCCCGTCCGAGGGTTCGGATCCCACATACAGACCGGCTCCCGCTCACTGGCTGAGCGAGGCGCGGGAGCAACACCGAGGCTTGCGGTCCTGTTGCCGGACATGGAAAAAAGACAAAAAAAAAAAAAAAAATCTAGTAGGAAAAGATAAAATTGGGGGAGTCTATGAGATAATTACTCTTCCCTGAAAATAAGAGAAGAAGAAATATCAAAGGAAATGATAAATGGGCTGTATAAATGAGCAAGTATTGAAACTAAACAAACAAGGAAGCAATATATACATATATCTCCTTAACAATATAGATCTCAAACTCTAGACAATACCAATGAAAAAAGTGGGTGAGTGGAATGTCAAGGTACATTTTTGTTCAGAAGAGATATTGATAAGCTGGTTTAGTTCACAAGGAAAATATAATGAAAGGGCCTAATACTTTAAAATACATTTTAAAAGGAAAAAACTCTTCATAAATTACAAGGAAGAATGGTATATAAGGATAAAATGAACACTATCAAAAAAGTGTAAAAATCATGAGCACATAGATACCCATCTAAGTACTCTGAAGTATACCAAGCAACAATCTATATAGCCAGAGGAGGCACTGTGCACTCTGGGGAACTATAATCACATATTCTTAAAGCAGAGAGAGATCTATCTGACACAGCTAGAGACACAGACACAACTGTACCTTTTAAATAAGTTATATTCTACTCTTATCTCCCCCAATAAAAATGCAGAAAAAAAAACAGACTTTTGAAACCAGCCAAAGTATCTTCTAAATTCATGGTGAAAGTAGAATTTTTCAGCCATACAAGGTCTCAGAAGCTTTGAAAACACTCCTCAAAAAAATAATCTAGTAGGTGGGCCGGCCCGGTGGCGCACTGGATAGTGCGCCGCTTGGGAAGCGCGGCGGCGCTCCCGTCCGAGGGTTCGGATCCCACATACAGACCGGCTCCCGCTCACTGGCTGAGCGAGGCGCGGGAGCAACACCGAGGCTTGCGGTCCTGTTGCCGGACATGGAAAAAAGACAAAAAAAAAAAAAAAAATCTAGTAGGAAAAGATAAAATTGGGGGAGTCTATGAGATAATTACTCTTCCCTGAAAATAAGAGAAGAAGAAATATCAAAGGAAATGATAAATGGGCTGTATAAATGAGCAAGTATTGAAACTAAACAAACAAGGAAGCAATATATACATATATCTCCTTAACAATATAGATCTCAAACTCTAGACAATACCAATGAAAAAAGTGGGTGAGTGGAATGTCAAGGTACATTTTTGTTCAGAAGAGATATTGATAAGCTGGTTTAGTTCACAAGGAAAATATAATGAAAGGGCCTAATACTTTAAAATACATTTTAAAAGGAAAAAACTCTTCATAAATTACAAGGAAGAATGGTATATAAGGATAAAATGAACACTATCAAAAAAAGTGTAAAAATCATGAGCACATAGATACCCATCTAAGTACTCTGAAGTATACCAAGCAACAATCTATAAAGAAAGATAAATCAACAATTGTAGCTGAAGATTTTAACACATGTCTCTGAAAACTGAACAAAAAATAAGGAAATGTATAAATAATTTCAATGACACAAATAAATTCAAAGTAATGAATATGAATATTTAACTGTATACACAACATAAATGTGTACTGTTTTTAAGCATGCCTCGAAATTCAGAAAACTGACCAAACTACTCAGAACATATTCTCAGATAATAGAATAAAATAGAAAGGACAGCTTTAAAAAGTCCAAGAGGGACAACAGTAACATACTACTGAATAACCTACAATTAAACTAGAAACCATAAAGGTAATCAAAATATTTATCATTAAATATCTATGAAAATATTACATGTCCAAGTTTTTAGGACACAGGTAAAGTAATACTTAAAGGTATATATAGATCACTTTAAACACAATTATTCGAAAACAAAAAATGAGTCCTAAGAAGCTGGTTCTTTGGAAATAGTAAGATGGACAAACCTCTGATATAACTTATGAAGAAAAAGAGGATACAAATAAAATAGACGATGAAAAAGAGAAATTAACAAAAGAAATAGTTTTAGAAAATAATAATATCTGAACTATAAAGTAAATTTGAAAGCATAATAAAATTGATATATTAAAGTTTACAAAATGTCAAAATTAGCACAAAAAAGAAAACTTCATTGAGATAGATAAGCATGAAGAAAAGAAATAATAAAGACCTCTCCAACAAAAGAAATTGAAAACCGACATGGCTTTAACAAGAGAATTCTCTCGAAGTTTTAAGAAAGAATTAATCTCTGTCATAGACAATTTGTTTCAGAACAGAAAAAGGGCAAGATACTATTGAAGGTATTTTAATTGTGAACTGGAATAAGGATAAGAAAAAAAATTATGTCAAATTTACTCATAAACACAGACATGAAAAATCCTAATATGATTTACTTGAGAAATGCAAGGGTGGTTTACCATTAGACAAGTCTATCAGTTCAGGCTCATTAATGGATGAAAGGAAAATTCCAGAAAACTCAAAACACAAAGGAACTTCTATCATATATATCAAAAACCTATCACAGAAATCAGAGACAAGGAACTTTAAATGCCTTCCTAAAAAAAAGAAGAAAAAAACCTGCTATCTCTTACACCATTATAATGCTGAAAGTACTGCTTTGCAATTAAACAAGAGAATAAAACAAAAACTATAAGGTTAGGAAAGAGGCAAAAATGAAATTGTTTGCAGATAATATAATAATCTGCACAGTAAAACCAACAGAATCAACAAATTATCAGATTGCATAAGAGTTCTAATAGGTTGCACGTATAAGACCAACATAAAAATTAAAGGTTTCTCTGCCTGAGCAATAATTAAGTAGAAAATAATACTAAATACTAATCATATAACAAAATCATAAAGTACTTAAAAATTAACTTAATAATGCACCTCTATGAAAAAATTTAAACTTTTTTCATAATGATATCTGAATAAAGAAATCCATCATTTTCATGCACAAATGATATAACATAGTATAGAACTCCATTTTCTATAAATTTATCATAAAATTAAATGCAATTATAAATTTAAAATTCTATTCACAGAGTTTGCAGCACTTAATAAGTATATTTATTGTTCAAATGTATATAAAAGAAAAAAATCCACAAGTAGGTAAGTGAATTTTAAAAAGAAAAAGAATCACCCAAAAAGAAAGGAGGCCATATTTATAACATATAGCATATATTATATTATATATCCACAATAATAAAGTGCATAGTACTAGACCAAAAAGGTTAAAGAAAAAAAAGCTCAAACAACAGTTCATGATGGATGTGGCATCATAAAGTAGGGAAAGGAGGATTTGTAATGACTTTGCTAGGATCTACATTCTCTCACAAGGATTCTTTCTAGTTTTTAGTCAAACCTGTACGGATAAAGCTATAACATAAGTATTTTTAAATCTTTACCATATTAATGAAAGAATGTAAATGCTTTATTTCCTTTCTCCTACTTCTCTAGTATTCCAGAAAAGCCTATTTGAAAAACCTATCCCTTTTAAGGGTTCTTCCTTTTGAAACCTTCTGAGTTTTTGTTCTGCTTTATTTCCTTTCTCCTACTTCTCTAGTATTCCAGAAAACCCTATTTGAAAAACCTATCCCTTTTAAGGGTTCTTCCTTTTGAAACCTTCTGAGTTTTTGTTTTGTTTTAAATAGAAGGGTATGTTACTTCATTTTTTCTCTAGACTGCTTAAAAGAACTTTTATGTGGCAGTAATAGACAATAGTCAAAATAAAAAATAAAACGAGAGAAAAACAGAAAACACTTTGTGTTGAACCTAATTTTAAAAGGTAAAAATAGAACCTAAAGAGAGAACAATACATGTAAGGGTTATAATATGAAGTACGTGAATAATGCTGGGGAAAAGGCATTAAAATAGCAACAACTTAATTTAAATATTAAGATACTATACTTACTGAAGTATCAGAGTAACTAATCGAATAGCTTCCACAGCAACATCATATTCTTTATCAAGTGTCATCGATACAATGCGATCCTGAAAAAAATTGTAAAGTAAATCAACAATAAACAGAAAATAAGTCGGTACAGACCTAAAGTGAGGTATTCTGGGGCATATATACAACACTAATGATAGGTTAAATGAAAAACCATATTATCAAAGTCTCACACAAAAGGGGTGTTAGTATAAATGTTCATAATTTAAAATCTTTCTCATTAACTACTATTCCCTGACACTGTGACAAGTCAACCTAAATTTATAAAATAATTATATTCATAAAAAGCTATATATAAAGAAAATCTTATTTTAATCAGGAGAGCCTTCTTTCAAAGGCAATAAATAAAAACTCATGCTGGTAATATCTTTTGTAAAGTAGAGACTCATTCATCTATTTCATACAGGTTTACTTAAAGAATATGTAGTAAAGAAAAAAACTAAATACTTCTTACGGTAATATCATTTGCTAAGTTATCTATAGCTAGCATTTGTAAAGTGAAAAATAAAATAAGTTCACCATCGTTAATGCTTACCTTGAATCGGTTAGTGAAAAGCTCCAATTTGGGAAACAATTCTCTATTGGTATATAGACTTTGTAGAGCCTTCAAACACTTCAGCCTGACTTCCCCTTGCTTCAGAAATACAAGTAAAAAACACAAAGATGCAGTCAATTTCATGCCACAAAGTTTAAATAAATTTTCAAGTCTATATGAAAACTAAAATAAATTTCAGTGTAACCATTCAACTTGCTTCACATTGTAATTCAACATAGTATAGAACTAAGCAATAATACAGTCTGTTGTAAAATGCACTGAAAATCCCTAAGTTACTTGAGAGTAAGCTACACCTTTTCAAACATTTAACAACTCTGACTCAACACAGACTATTTCCCACATTATCCTGTGGCACTTTGTATTTTTAACCTGTGATTATAATTAGAGAAGGGTACACTCATTTGTCCTCTATGTAATTACTGAACAATCCTGTGGAAAAACCTAATTTTATCACTTATTCATGCCACAGATATTTACTAGATGCCTTTTATATTCCAGGGACAGCAGCTAGGAAAACAGATAAACAGAAGAATGTTTAAAACGGAGGCAAAATGATACAGTGAAGAGACCTGGGGGTGCTATTTACTATTGGAATATCTTTAATAAAGTCATTAACTTGGAGTAGAGGATATTGGTGATCAACGTGCATTCAGGACCATCTAGAAATTTATCCAACTCTCTGAAAGGATGTAATGGAGATTGAAGTTTCCAAAAGCAATGTGCTATAACAGTAGAAATCCAAATTCTGGAATCAGACGAACTACATTTTTTTACTTCCAATTCTATAATTTATTAGCTACATGTGAGATGGGAAGTATATTAATCATTCTGATACTCTGTTTTCTCATTTATAAAGCTGCTGTAAGGATTAAATGCAGAGGAATGCTGGTAAGACTTGTAGTAACAGTAGAAATCCAAATTCTGGAATCAGACGAACTACATTTTTTTTACTTCCAATTCTATAATTTATTAGCTACATGTGAGATGGGAAGTATATTAATCATTCTGATACTCAGTTTTCTCATTTATAAAGCTGCTGTAAGGATTAAATGCAGAGGAATGCTGGTAAGACTTGTAAAAACCAGCTCTGAGGAACAGGGCCCTGAACTACTGCATTTGCAATGTCTGTAATCCAACTCTCTCCCACCCCATGGTCAATATCGATCTACCAAAGATACATCATTGAACTCATTTATAAACAGATATGCATAATCATTCCCTTGCAAGCTGATCCAAGCCACTTCTAGCACATCATTGAATGAGATGATGTTTGCTGCTAAACCACTAGCACATAGGAAGAACCTGAGGTACCTGTGGCAGATGCTGTTGATGCCCTGCCAAGGTCCCCTTTACTGGGTTAATTCCAGCCTCTGCCTGCGTTGACTGCTAATAGTTCATAACTGTACTTTTCTCTGGAGAACCAACCATGGTTGACAAGAATCACTTGGCACAGAGATCTCTAGGACATTAAGCTTCACTCCCTCCCCAGGCTGAGGCCCACAGCCAGTGCTGAAAGATAAAAGAGTAAAACAGCCAAACTTCCTTGCTTCTGGGCAGGACAACCTCTAAGGTGCAATGTATTCTCCAAAGCTCCTTATGAGATCAGGCTGAGAATAACATTCTGAAACCAGATTTTTCTCAGTCTGTTTCCTGCTTTATCATACTTTCCACACATTCTTATAGACTACTACTGAGAGTATAAACCTCAATATATGACTAGCACAAAAATCCCCAACTAGGGCTTCACTTCTAGGGAACGTGACCAAAGACAGCTGGTACCAAGAATGGACCTACGAAGCTTTACTGACCGGACTGTAAGGTTGGATTACTTGAAGGCTGGAATGCTATGAAGAAGGACCCAGTGGTAATATGTGAAATATTGATAGTTCTGACATAGGATAACAGAGTATTTTCTAGAATTTTCATCTGTGGGAGAAAAGGGATACGAACTAGCTTGTACAACATTCCTACATTTGAGGGAGCAGGATGAATAGTAACTGTAAGGACTGCGTAACTAAGTGGCTCTTGCTAAGTGTCACTATGATGCTAAAGAGAAAACGACAGTCTCAGGCTATTTAATCACCAGTTAAAAGCAAGTGTTGCTGCACTGGCAACATTTAAAGAGACCCTTATCTCCAGCAGATAGAAAATCAATTATACTGAAGACCAGGTCCAGAACTCAATTGTAAGAGGGGCCGAATTTGAGAGACTTTTTGTCCCAGACAAGTCTTCCATGTCAAAGTCAGGGCCATGATAGGAAAGAAGTTAAGTCTAAAGGATATCTGGGTGGATACAGCTAAGAACCTTGAACACCTAGTTACCTCTGAATTTGAGGGCCTGAAAATATAGCTCATGCCCCCTTGGTTAAAGGATAGCATGTCTCCTCCCTGCCCTATCCTTTGCTGAGACGACATGGAAGCCTCAAATGAGGCAGGTACCTTAAGGACAATGCTAGTAGCCCTCCTCATGATCTACACAGACCTCCCTTCCTGGCCACCAGACAATGATCAAATCTCGGCATGGACCAAATGGAAAAACTGGCTCCACATAGCAATGGAGATATGATTCCAAAATAGCAGAGATAAGGTACCATCACCTATGACATGCAAGCAGGGAATAACAATTGTAATGAGCAGCAGGGCTGAAGGGCAGCCCATAGGGATCTATGGCACATAGGACATGGTATCCCAGGAAGCAAGATAAGTGGAAAGCCACTAAAAGTATTATTTAATACATATAGTGAAAAGAGATCAATAATGGACAAGTAAAAGGCTAAGGACAGTTGCCCCAATGTAAAGTCACAACCCCAGATTTAAAATAGCATGACTGACTTCTCTCCAGCTATAGACTTGAAACAAATGCCAAGAAAGATGAAATTACATCACTGAAATTCACACAGCAAATTATAGGTAGAGCAAGGACATGAACTGAGTTTTATCCAGTGGCATCTCCCAATCAACCACCTCTTTTCCCAAGTCTTGGTTCTCCACCTATAATGTGCCCTGCCTATACCACAGAAACTTCTTAACAATTAAATAAGGTGGTATCCATGAAGGTCTTTTAGAAAACTGTAAAATAACAGAATGAAAACTCCAGTGGCCTTTTTGGTAACAGCTCTACTTTGGGGCTCTACTATACTCTGAGCCTATTTCTATCATAGTGCCTAAATGCTTTATTATAAAAACTGTGATTCAAATCTGAAAGCTGTTTAATACAGTGTCTAAAAGCATATTGACTGCTCAATAAATGTTACTGATCTAAGGTTCAATCTCTATACTGTCCAGCTGCCATAAAATGAAAATAAATAAATATTATTTAATGAATAACTAAAAGTGTAATAAAAATAGGGGGTAAAAGCAGAAAAAGGACACAAAGATAAAAAATTTGTTGGGGAGCTGATTGTGTATATTTGTCAGAGACACTCTGTTAACATTTGTGTCAAATTACTTTTGAAAAAAATGTTAAGTGATATGAAAAAGTATTGTGTAACATACTGCTAACCATAATTTCATAATTAGTTATATTTTTAAGAGCCAATAATTCATGTTTCAAGGAGACAATGCTAATTATTAAAATGCATATGTGTACTAAGAATATTTAAATGGAAATACTGTGAAAGGTTTCAAATTAACCAAATTCAGGTGGGCTAATTGTGAAGGAGAAAAGCATCAAATCACTTATGAGAGAGTCCCCATCAGACTAACAGCAGACTTCTTAAGAGAAACTCTACATGCCAGAAGAGAATGGGATGATATATTCAAAATACTAGAAGAAAAAAACTTCCAGCCAAGAATACTATAATCAGCAAGGCTATCTTTCACTAATGAAGGAGAAATAGTGTATTTCCCAACAAACAAAAGCTATGAGAGTTTACCACCACAACCAGCCACACAAGAAATTCTAAAGGGAGTCCTGCATCTGAATCAAAAAATCAATAATCACTACCATGAATACACACACACACACAAAAAAAAAAAAAAAGAAGAAAAAGAAAAAAAACCCACTGGTAGAACAAAAACGCAAACTGGAAAGAGAAAGAAATTGTAACTTACCACCTCCAAAAACCAACTAATACTGAAGACAAACATTAAAAGGGAAAGAAACAAAAGATATTTAAAACATCCACATGAAAATTATTAAAATGACAAAAGTAAGAAAATACCCTTTAGTAACTACCCTAAACGTAAGTAGATTAAATTCCCCACTCAAAAGACACAGACCAGCTGATTGGGTTAAAAAACTACACCCAACTATACACTCTCTACAGGAGACTCACCTCACCTGTAAAGACACATACAAAAAGAGTCAAGGGATGGAAAAAGATAAATCAAGCAAAGAGAAACAAAAAACAAGCAGGAGTGGCTATTCCTACATCAGATAAAATAGACTTTAAATCAAAAACTATAAAAAGAGACAAAGGCCACTATATGATGATAAACGTATCTATCCAAAAAGAAGACATAACAAGTCATAAAAATAGACACACTCAACATCAAAGCATTCAGATAAATAAAACAAACACTATTAATCCTTAAAAAAGAGACAGACACAAATACGATAATAGTTGGGGACATGAGTACCCCTCTCAAACACTGAACAAATCATGTCGACAACATACCAACACAAAAACACTGGATTTAAAACACACTTCTGATCAACTGGACTTGGCAGATATCTACAGAACATTTCATCAAACAACCCCAGAATATACATTCTTCTCAGCAGCACATGGAACATTATCCAGGATAGATAACATGTTAGGTCACAAATCAAGCCTCAACATATTTTTAAAAATTGAAAACATTTCAAGTTATCTTCTCAGACCACAACAGATCCAAACTACAAATCAATCACAAGCAAAACTCAGGAAACAATACAAACACATGGAAATTAAAACAACATGCTCCTGAACAACCTGTGGGTCCAAGAAGAAATTAAACAGGAAATCAATAAATTTCTTCAAACTAATGAAAATGAAGACACATCATACCGAAAACCATGGGAGGCTGTGAAACTAGTTCTAAGAGGGAAATTTACAGCAATAAATGCTTACATCAAAAGAACAGAAAGACTGCAAGTAAACAAGTCAATGCTACACCTCAACAAACTAGAAAAAGAAGAACAATTGCATTCTAAAATTAGTAGACAGAATGAAATAATTAAGGTCGGAGCAGAACTAAATAAAAACCCCAAAAATGATACAATAGATCAAAGAAACAAAAAGTTGGTTTTTCAAGAAGATAAACAAAATAGACAAACCATTAGCTAGACTAACTAAAAAAAGAAGACTTAAAAACAAAAATTAGAAATGAAAGAGACATTACAACCAATACCACAGAAATATAAAGAATCAGAGACTTTTACCAACAACTATATCCCAAGAAGTTTGAAAATCTGGAGCTAATGGATAAATTTCTGGACACATACAAACACCAACACTGAACCAAGAAGACAAGAAAACTTCAACAGAACATCAAGCAACTAGTTTGAAGAAGTAATCAGCAGTCTCCCAACAACAAAAAAGCCCAACACTGGATGTCTGCACTGGTAAATTCTAGACTGGATGTCTGTACTGGTAAATTCTACAAAACCTTTAAAGAGGAATTATTACCAAGTCTTTCCAAACTATTCCAAAAAATTGAAACAGAGGCCATTCTCCCAAACTCATTCTATAAAGCCAGAATCATCCTGATACCAAAAGCAAAGATAGAACAAAAAATAGAAAACCACAGACCAATATCTCTAATGAATATAGACACAAAAATCCTCAACAAAATTTTAACAAATGGAATACAGCAACACATAAAAAAAATTATAACCACATTCAAATGGAATTCATCCCAGGAATGCAAGGATGGTTCAACTTCCCAAGTCAATAAATGTAAGACAGCATATCAACAAAATCAAGGGGGGAAAAAAACCACAATTATCTCAATAGACAGAAAAAGTATTTGCCAAATTCAACATATCTTCATCATAAATATTCTCAGCAAATTAGGTACAGAAGAAAAATATCTCAACTGGATAAAAGCCATATATGACAAACCCACTGCCACTTTGATCCTGAATGAGAACAGGAACAAGACAGCAATGCCCACTCTTGCTGCTCCTATTTAACAGAGTGTCAGAATTACTAGCCAGAATCACAATTCCTTGAACTTGTTAAGACAAGTAAATAGATATGATGGTGGGGGTGGGGATGGGGGAGGGGCACGGAAGGAGAGAAAGGAGGAATTGGTAAAGAGACAAAAAATCAACTACACTGTATATCGATAAATTAATATAAAAATTTTTTAAAAAGAAGAAGAAGAAAGTAAAAAAATGAAGTAAAATAAAGAAGTATTAGCCAGAGCAGTCGGGCAAGAAAAAGAAATAAAGGAAATCCAGATTGGAAAAGATGAAGTCAAATTGTCCCTGTTTGCAAATGACATGATCCTGTACATAGAAAAGCCGAAAGACTCTACAAAAAAGCTCTTAGAGTTGGTAAGTGATTTTAGTAAAGTTGCAAGATACAAAATCAACATGGAAAAATCAGTAGTGGTTTTATGTGCCAACAACGAACTAGCAGGGAAAGAAATTAAAAATGCTAGTCCATTTAAAATATTCACACACACACACAAACCCCCCCCCGCCCCCGCAAAAAAAACCCCTAGGAATAAATATAGCAAGCAGGTGAAAGATCTCTACTACAAGACCTACAAGTCACTGCAAGTGATTTTAGTAAAGTTGCAAGATACAAAATCAACATGGAAAAATCAGTAGTGGTTTTATGTGCCAACAACGAACCAGCAGGGAAAGAAATTAAAAATGCTAGTCCATTTAAAATATTCACACACACACACACAAACCCCCCCCCCGCCCCCGCAAAAAACCCCCTAGGAATAAATATAGCAAGCAGGTGAAAGATCTCTACTACAAGACCTACAAGTCACTGTTGAAAGAAATTAAAGAGGCCATATAAAAATGGAAAGACCTTCCATGTTCTTGGATTGGAAGAAGTAACATTGTGAAAATGTCCATACTACCCAAAGTGATCTAAAGATTCAATGCAATCCCCATCAAAATGCCAATGACATTCTTCACAGAAATAGAAAAAAATCCTAACATTCATATGAAACAATAAAAGATTCCAAATAGCCAAAGCAATCCTGAGCAATAAATAAATAAATAAATAAATAAATAAATAAATAAATAAATAAATAAATAAATAAAGCTAGAGGTATTACACTACCTGACTTCAAATTATACTACCAAGCTATAGTAACCAATATAGCACGGTTCTATCATAAAGACACTCAGACCAATCATACAGAATAGAAAAGAACCCAGAAATCAACCCACAACTTACAGATCTTTGACAAAGGCACCAAGAACATACACTGGGGAAAAGACTGCCTCTTCAATAAATGAACATCCATATATAGAAGAATGAAACTTGACCTGTATCTCTTACCATATACCAAAATCATCTCAAAATGGATTAAAGACTTACATAATTCAAGCCAAGGCAGGTATCATCTCACCTCACTCTGACTGGCTTTTATCAAAAAGAAACTAAAAAATGCTGGCAAGGATGCGGAGAAAGGTGGACCCTCCTGTACTGTTGGTGAGAGTGTAAATTAGTACAGCCATTATGGAAAACGGTATGGATGTTCCTCAAACAACTATGGATAGAACAGCCATAAGATCAACAATTCCACTGCTAGGTAATATATTCCAAGGAATGGAAATCATCACGTCTAAGGCATACCTGCACCACCATGTTTATCACAGCTCTATCTACAATAACCAAGACTTGGAATCAACTTAAATGTCCACCATGGAATGACTGGATAAGGAAAATGTTGTCTATATACGCAACAGAAGACTACTGTGCTGTAAAAAAGAATGAAATACTGCCATTCGCAGCAACATGGATGAACACAGAGAAAATTATGTTAAGTGAAATAAACCTGGCACAGAAAGAGAAATAACATATGTCCTCACTCATAAGTGAGAGCTAAGAAGCTAAAAGCTAAAACAAACTTGAAAAAGAAAGAAAGATGTAACAATCACAATAATATGCTGAACTTTCAAAAGGAGAGAACAGAACTGAGGTTACAAGAGGTGGGAAAGGGGAAGAGGTAGGAGGAGTAAGGGAGGAACTGGTAAAGGGCCTCAAAAAATGATTACACTGTATAATGTTGAATACACTAATTATCCTGATTTGAGCATTACATATTGCACTCAGATATTGATATTGAACTCTGTACCCAATACATATGTACAATCAACTATGTTAAAATAAGAAAAAAAATTCCAATAATTTATCATTCCCACCTTTGATTGAGAATTAATTATTTAGGACTCAATGATGCAGAATTTCTTTCAAAATCAGAGCCCTTTTTAAGAGGTTAGAGGTAGAAATAGATTTTTACATTGAATATTCTAGAATCCAACAAATCTATTCACCTGATAAAATACTATACTGTGATATGACCCTAGAGAATTCAAAATAAAGAAGCTTATTTCGTCTTTGTATATTAAGAGAAATAAGAAATAATTTCTGATTCCAGACTAGAAAAAAATTATAATTATCTTCTTAAGATACTATATTCTCTTAAAACTTTAGATATACCAGGTTGTCAATCTTAGTTCAAGAGAGCACTTCAACTAACCAAGACAAGGTCTTCACACATGGGCTAATGTCTCCGGTTTCATCACAGTCTTCAAATAAAGTTACTCACTTGCATCATCCTAAATTCACATATTATTACAACTATTGAAAAATCAATTGCTATTTTGATTCCTAGTATTCTAGTACTGAGATAAACATATCCTCTATCAAAACTTAGAACAGAGTAACTTACCCTGTCATGAAGAGTCCATCCAACATATTTTAGGTAACTGTCATTTAGGAAGGCATCACTATACATTTTCATCCATACTCCAATTTCTTCAATACAAATGGCTCTAATCTCAGCAATAGCGTCACTGGGGGTGAGGATGGGGGATGGGGGACAAACCTCTGATTAATATCCGAAGTTGGAATACATGCATATTTACTTTCAACAAGCAGTGAAGATTATTTCTAATACTTTATATATAAATACAAAATTCATAATAAATAGAAATATATATTATCTATACTCTCAAAGGCCTTTAGTCTGAACATCTTCTGTTTTTTATACTTCTTCTATAAAATAAAAACTACCAATACCAAACTGAAAAAAGAACTTCTATGGAACACCTTACTTTTGCCAAACTGCTCTATTTTCATTGGGCTACGCAATGACGTTTGGAGCTTTTTGAGAGCCTTACAACTACTATGGAGTCAACAAATATGTTAAACCTTCTGAAGAAACCAGAGTACCATCATCCATGTACAGAATAATGTAGAGCTCAAAACTGGTTTCTCTAAAGAACTGTGAACTTTATAAGCTAGCGTACATTTAATAAATTAAAAGAAAATAATTTTTATGATTAAGACACAAATTTGTTAGATATCCATGAGGCAAAATCATGCAGAAGCCAATATTATTTGAAAATGTGCAATAGTTTATAAAACCTAAAACCTTGAAGTAATTTATTGACAATTAAACTATACATGTATACCCTTAGCTTAAAATCAGCTTTTGTTACTTCAGTCAAGTCAGAGGTCTTTCATCTATAATTAATTTACTTTTTAGGCTGAGGCAAAGGGAAGAATAATCCACCTATAGTCACAATGGGAACGATCTTGGTAACTATACTGTGAAATGGTTGCATAACATTCCCAAAAGTCAGGATTTTGGCTCACTGCCCAGATAGCTTTTCACTTCACTTCACTCCAAGCATCCAATATAATCTTTCCGGGATGATTTTTCTACTCTAAGAGCAGTGAATCAAGAACCAATGCAACATTAATACAAGGACTTTTATCTTACCTTTCACCAGGTTATTAGTGCTAGTTTAAAAAAATCATGTTAAGTATAATATGACGAAGCTTAATTTTCTTTTGCAGATCAATATTCAAGGCTTCTGATTTACCATACATGAGTAAATTAAAATTTTAAGTAATTTTTAATTCTGCAATTTGCACAAGACAATAATGTCACTTCAGATGGAATTTTAATGTTAATTAAGGCACTTTTCTTAGTTTCTCTTTTGTGCAAAATGAGTGATAGAATTCTAATAGTTAATTCCTTGCTTGCTCTAATAAATCTCAGTTCCTTCTAGGCTCCTGTCATTGCTTAAGAACAAAAATTGGGGAAACTCTCTTCCCAAGCCATACTGCCAATTACTGTGCAATCTTTAGTTTTCCTACATTTTTTTTTTTTTTTTTTTTTTTTTGTCTTTTTCCGTGTCCGGCAACGGATCGCAACCCTCAGTGTTGCCCCCGTACCGGACCGGGGACCGGCAACGGGATTGCAACCCTCGGTGTCGCTCCCGTGCCTCGCTCAGCCAGTGAGCAGGAACCGGTCTGTATGCGGGATCCGAACCCTCGGGCGGGAGCGCCGCCGCGCTTCCCAAGCGGTGCACTATCCAGTGCGCCACCGGGCCGGCCCTAGTTTTCCTACATTTTTTGATAATACCTTTTTCTCATGTAGAGGTTCTATAGCATAGTGGCTAATAATACAGACTCTGGAGCAAGACATCCTGAGTTGAAATCCTGGTTCTGTTTTTTACTAGCTGTGTGACTTTGGGCAAGTTACTTCCCTTTTTCTTAGACTTCCTCATCTGTAAAATAGCGATAACAGTACCTAGCTCACAGAGTTAATACAAGAATAAAATCACTTAATACAAGTAAAATACTGATAATAACAGTACCTAGCTCACAGAGTTAATACAAGAATAAAATCACTTAATACAAGTAAAATACTCAGAATTGTGCCTAACACATACTAAACCTTTCATAAATGTTGGCAACTACAATCCGTCATTTAAGTTTCATCAATCTGGGCAGTTATAGACAATACAATTATAAAAAGAAGCTTTATTACAACTGTGAGATATCCCTAGACCTTTATAATACTGAACATAAATGCTCAAAAATAATTTTTTTCCTCTTTTCTTTCTTTTGTTTTTTGATGGCTGGCCAGTAAGTGGATCCGAACCCATGACCTTGGTGTTATAAGGCTGTGCTCTAATCAACCGCTAACCAACCAGCCCCAACTTTTTTCTTAATATGAAAAATTTCAGATGTAAAAAAGATATAGAAGACAATACAATGAATAACTGTACATCCACTGCTCAGTTAATAAAATATTACAGTTAAAACTTCCTATGTACCTAGTACTGATGCATCTCCTTCCCCAAGAGTAAATGGCTATCCTTAATTCAGTGAATATCATTGCCATCTGTATCTCTGTTTTAACTTCATATGTATTGTTTTACATATTTTGACACTTTATATAAGTTTTATCCTGTAGGTATCCTTCTCTAACATGCTTTTTTCACAAACAATTTTTGTAATCTAGGTACACTGAATAATATAGTTCCAATACATTAATTTTGACTGATGTTCAGTGTTCCTTTCTATGGATATATTACAAATCTCTCACTGATGAATATTTAGGTTGTATTCATGTTTTTGCTCTTATTAACAATGATGCCATAAACACATTTGTACATTTCTCCTCATGCACATGTGTTAGTTTCCCTAGAGCAGTGTTTTTCAATGGTGTATCGTTACCCTTAACATATCATAAAATAAATTTAGTGAATAGCAACAAATACATAGAAGTATATAGGACAGAAAATACCAAAATGGTCCATGTGTAGTAAGACACGTAAGTATTCTTTCTTGAAACTACTATCTACCCAATGAAGGACATGGCCAACAACGTCTGTAAGACACTATTTTCATACCTGAAAGTGAAATTACGGGGTGAAAAGGAATGTATATCTTCAACATTATTAGATATTTAAAAAAATCTCTCTAAATCAGTGCTTCACATACTTGCCTGGCACGTGGTATTTCCTTTTTTTTTTATTTATTTATTTATTTTTTTAATTTTTATTTTGTCAATATACAATGTATATGATTNATCTATGCCTAATTTCTAACGTCTTTTCTATCTAACTTTCTAGACTCCTAAACAGCTTATGTTCCTGAAACACAGCTTCTTGGTATTCACTGCTAATATTTTTGATACAGCATGTCTTCCAGGAAACCCAGCCCTTGTCTACTTCAGAAGCCAATCTGATCCTTCCCACTTTAACTTTAAAAAATTAAATATCCTTTTCTAGACGTACAATTTGACCACGTGTGGCCAGATCGCCTATTCTGCTGAAATAAAAATTCCCAAGGTGATTTGTCTCTCTGGGTTCTGGAGCTCCTACCACTGCCTGTGCCACCCTGCTAGAGTAACCATTCTCTACAAGTAACTATATTATGTAATCACAGAGTAGACTGTAAAATTAAAACACTTTTGTGATGGTTTGTAAACAAAATTTTATGTTTACAAATTCTTTGCTAATATTCCCTCTGGTGGAGACTAATTCCCTTTTTCTTGAGTGTGGGTGTTCTAAGTAACTTGCCTCTGACAAATATAATGTGGTGGAAATAAAGAGTATTGACTCCTTAGCCTAGGTCAAAAAGACACTGTGACTTTTGTTTTCTCAGATCACTCTCTCTGGGGAAGCCACATGCCATGNGGTATTTTCCTATTATTTAATATAAATTTCTATTTCTGTGAGCTGCAGGTTCATATACTTTGCTCTCTACTAGGCTGTCCAAATAAAAACAAATGATAAGAACAGCAAAAATAAAACCACCACCCTCCAAAAATAAAACAAAAATACCCCACAACTATAAAAGACAACAACAAAACACCCAAATCATTATTTTAGCTCTCTCAGTCCTATCTCCATCAGGGATCCATTATGCTTATCCTCTGTTATACTACCCTCATAAAAGTCAATCCAAAAAAACAAACAAACAACAACAAAAAAAACCAGGCTAAATGTTTTTATTATATAATTTCATAGAAGCAGATTGAGGATAAAATTAATAGGTATGGTTTACTGATTTGAACTACCGTATAGTGACCACTGAGTATGATAACTGCACATATACACAGCTCAATCATTATTCCAGCACTCTTAGAGTCAGGTTAATTCTTAGACTTTTTCCACTGATACTAAGATAATGGGTGGATATTTCCCACAGGTTAGAGAATATAAAAG